GGGGACATCTGTCCCCCCCTGCACCCCCCTCGCTACGCCTCTGTCTAATAGTGGATTAAATGGAACATAATACTGGTTGAATTGAACACATTTTTTTATCCTAGCCTAAAAAGTTTAAAATTATTATTTTTTTTTTTTTTTTAAAGTTAATCTAAAATAATTGTTATCATCCTTAGTCGAATGTCTCCCAAACACTATTGTGTGTCTTTCCAGTAACTTGCCTTAATACACTCTTAAAGTGCCAGCAAAAACCATCTCAAGTGCGGCCCTTATCTGTTGATAAGCAAATGATGAGATGAGTTAGACAGATTGCGCCACCTTTGCGTCACCCACTATTATCAGCACTAACTTTAAAAAACTACTTTCAAGGAGCCACGGCGGTTGTGTGTGTGTGTGTGTGTGTGCGTCTCTACAAGTCCCATCGTGCGCAAGACACGGGTATTTAGTTGTCAAGTGAAAGACTTACAAGAACTGCTGAATCACTTGGCATGGTGGCGTAGCATTTTGTAAGTAACCCTTGTAAATAGGGTGGATGACGTAAAGTCAATGACTGGACTCGTGGATTAATTCGGTGCACACAGTGCCAAGGAACTGGATATTTTTTTTATATTTTTTTTAGAAGTCATGGTACCGCAACGAGATGCACGCGATCTAATTTAGTGACAGTTTTAAGCACACACAAGAAAAGTGTGTCAAGTGGAAAGGGAGCTTATGACAAGACACCGAGGTGAGTCCTTTGTTTATACGCCGTTGAGGAGACAACAAAACAAATAAATAAATCTTTAGGTTTTGCCCGCCGTTCTTACGCCGCCATCTTGTTTATACAGCGATCAGTTTTGAAGACTGGGCAAGGTTTCATGGCTGCTAAATCCGTTAAATAGTTCAAGTGTCGCAAGAAGGTCATACGCTCTTGGGCCATCATACACACTTGGGCCATCATACACACTTGGGCCATCACACACACTTGGGCCATCATACACACTTGGGCCATCATACACAGTTTGGCCATCACACACACTTAGGCCATCATACACACTTGGGCCATCATACACACTTGGGCCATCATACACAGTTTGGCCATCACACACACTTGGGCCATCATACACACTTGGGCCATCATACACACTTGGGCCATCACACACACTTGGGCCATCATACACACTTGGGCCATCACACACACTTTGGCCATCACACACACTTGGGCCACCATACACACTTGGGACATTGTAGCTATTTTGCTTTCTTAAAAGTAATCTCCTTCGAGATATTGCCTTAAGTGTGTGTGTGTGTGTGTGAGAGGGGGAGGGAGAAATTGTTATCCATCTGACCTCGATATGCAGAGCCCTTGTCATTATACTTTATTTCGAACAGTAATGTCTGTTCTAGTGTAATCAATTCTCTGAGAAGTTGACACTTATGTTTGACCAACCACACCATTTGGATTTAATGACACTTAAATGTAGTATGTCCGCGACAGTGAACACATGGCAAGAAGAAAACATTACCCTACCACGCATGACAAGGAAACATTAATCTGCCACACATGACAAAGGGAACAACATTACTCTGCCACGCATGACAAGGGAACAACATTACTCTGCCACACATGACAAAGGGAACAACATTACTCTGCCACACATGACAAAGGGAACAACATTACTCTGCCACGCATGACAAGGGAACAACATTACTCTGCCACGCATGACAAGGAAACATTAATCTGCCACACATGACAAGGGAACAACATTACTCTGCCACGCATGACAAGGGAACAACATTACTCTGCCACACATGACAAAGGGAACAACATTACTCTGCCACGCATGACAAGGGAACAACATTACTCTGCCACACATGACAAGGGAACAACATTACTCTGCCACACATGACAAGGGAACAACATTACTCTGCCACACATGACAAAGGGAACAAAATTACTCTGCCAGACATGACAAGGGAACAACATTACTCTGCCACACATGACAAAGGGAACAAAATTACTCTGCCACACATGACAAGGGAATAACATTAATCTGTCAAACATGAAAAGGGAAAAACATTACCTGCCACACATGACAAGGGGCAACATTACTCTGCTACGCATGACATGATGACATTACTCTGCTACGCATGACAAGAGGACATTACTTTGCTATGCATGACAAGGAGATGACAACACTTGAAACAAGAGCGCCGAAACCTTTGAAAACAAAAATTTTGGTGTGTCGGGGGGGGGGGGGGGCCCCTCCCAAAATAATATCTTCATATTGATTTTTTCGTAATTCCATGAAATTTTGGTTTTAAAAAATNCAAAATTACTCTGCCACACATGACAAGGGAATAACATTAATCTGTCAAACATGAAAAGGGAAAAACATTACCTGCCACACATGACAAGGGGCAACATTACTCTGCTACGCATGACATGATGACATTACTCTGCTACGCATGACAAGAGGACATTACTTTGCTATGCATGACAAGGAGATGACAACACTTGAAACAAGAGCGCCGAAACCTTTGAAAACAAAAATTTTGGTGTGTCGGGGGGGGGGGGAGCTCCTCCCAAAATAATATCTTCATATTGATATTATCGTAATTCCATGAAATATTGGTTTTAAAAAATGACGTCACTCTTATCAGCGAACATGAGTTTGTAGCCCTCTGACATCAGATCGCCCAGTGCATGCTAGAATAGCATGGACACAAGCACAACACAAGTAATCAGCCATCATCACCATCAACGTATAAAGTGAAAATACGTGAATGGTGTAACGAACTGCATTCTAAACATTCCCCTTCGCTGCCAGTCAACTTATATTATACTAATTGCACTGCTTAATGCAGTGGCTCTCAACCTTCCTAGTGACGCGGCAGTACCTCATGTTGTGGCGACCCCCAACCATAAAATTATTTTCGTTGTTACTTCTATAAATATGTGTTTTCCGATGGTCGTATGCGACCCACAGGCTGAGAACAGCTGGCGTAATGAAATAGTTTTATTTAGAAACATTGTTAACATAATAACAGCCTAAATGCTCTGTCAATTTTTGCAGTTAATCTGAAGAAAGAAAAAACAAAACAGCAGAAAGATGTCGAAGACGTCATCAGAGACCACAAGAGATCAGCCACCGGCAAGTGAGGTGGAGCGCCCCATGCTGGGCAGGGGAAACAATCCAACCGGATCAAGGCCGAAACCGAAATACGGAGCTAACGTGTTAGTCATGGACAGCGCACATTCGTGGGTCGTCTGTTTCGGTAATTATCGGACGGCGATCAGATTTATGGGGCTACCGGAAATTTGATCGAAAGAAATTTCGTCGACGGCAAATTGACCGACGGTAATTTGATCGAACTGACATTTGGTCGCATCTTTTTTTTAGTTCACACGTAAAAATTCTGTCAAATTCTTATTCAACGCTCTTTACTATATAGCAAAACAAAATAATGCGCTCAAAAAGACATTTGAAGCAAAATTTTAACTGAAATAGAAACTGAAACTGAAAAAAAGATTCGACCAAATTTCCGTTCGATCAGCGGCGTAGCGAGAGTGTTTGGCGCCCGGGGACAAGATTCGCGCCCGGGGACAAGGTCCATTTTAAAGCGCCCCGTTTTTCTTTTTTCCAACTCTCAAACCCATAATTTTCACCAATAAAATAATATCAAAGCACATTTTGGCGCCCCTAACTAGCTGGCGCCCGGGGTCATCTGTCCCCCCCCCTGCCATCCCCCTCACTACGCCTCTGCGTTCGATCAAATTACCGTCGATCAATTTACCGTCGACGAAATTTCTTTCGATCAAATTCCTGTAAACTGTATACGGATTTTGTGATTTGAAAATTTAAAGTATTAAACCAACTTTGGTTTCGAAATCGCAAATATTTATGTGTATACACTTAGACTGACTTAGGGCATCCAATTATACTAATGAGACGTGATCACTCTATGATATTGATATTCCTGATGAATGTAACTTGTAAAACGCATTTGTGTTGAGCCACGTAGAAACCAAAGCCATTTTCATATTGCATCCTAGTAAACCATTCCATGCAAGGGGGAAAAGATTTGTTAAAACGTTGGATCGCACTGTCTTTATTCGTTCGTTTCCAGCCAATGTGTTCATATATATACTGAACGCCACCTTCGGCCGGGCGAGTCACATGACATTCCTGAATTTCGTGGAAGAGTTCGACGTGTCCATAACAACAGCTTCTCTCGGCTTCACACTAACGCTGGTGATGTTCAGTATTTCTTGTAAGTAGGAAATGTGATGTTTGAATGGTGTCTTGTAAATAGGAAATGTGATGTTTGAATGGTGTCTTGTAAATAGGAAATGTGATGTTTGAATGGTGTCTTGTAAGTAGGAAATGTGATGTTTGAATGGTGTCTTGTAAATAGGAAATGTGATGTTTGAATGGTGTCTTGTAAATAGGAAATGTGATGTTTGAATGGTGTCTTGTAAATAGGAAATGTGATGTTTGAATGGTGTCTTGTAAATAGGAAATGTGATGTTTGAATGGTGTCTTGTAAATAGGAAATGTGATGTTTGAATGGTGTCTTGTAAATAGGAAATGTGATGTTTGAATGGTGTCTTGTAAATAGGAAATGTGATGTTTGAATGGTGTCTTGTAAATAGGAAATGTGATGTTTGAATGGTGTCTTGTAAATAGGAAATGTGATGTTTGAATGGTGTCTTGTAAATAGGAAATGTGATGTTTGAATGGTGTCTTGTAAATAGGAAATGTGATGCTTGAATGGTGTCTTGTAAATAGGAAAGGGGATGTTGGAATAGGATCTTGTTGGTAGGAAATGTGATTTTTAAATACGTTCTTGAAAGTAGAAAATTTAATTCATTAAGTCAAAATGGAACCGGGAACGATTCGCCACTATTCGGACCCGGGTTCCATTAGACTAAATGCTATTCGGATGTCATTTGTGGCAGTTTATGATAGTTAAACTGAAGAAGTAAGTTTACAAACATATAGCCCATTCAATAATCCTTCATTTGTTACCAAATTTTGTCTTACAATCTAACAATAATATATATATATTTTTTTTTTACAATTTAATCCCAACCTCTCACTTCTCGGACCCAGGTCCGAATAGCCACTTCGGTTCTTAAAGAGGTGCCGCCTACGTCTGTATGGGCTTCTATTCAGAATCCTTTTTATATTTGACACAGCCATGCTGGTGACGTCACTGATCATCCCCAAGACAAGTGAACGAGTCGCTTGTTTCCTTGGCAACATCATCGGGTTCACGTGCACCATCTGCATCGGTTTGGCGCCTAATGTTGCCGTGTACCTTATATTTATGGGTATAAAAGGTGTGTAAACCTTATCAGTTATCTTAGATAGCCCTACTTTCATTATTCCCCCCCCCCCCAAAAAAAAAATAATTCACAAATGATAAAGAGAATAAATTAAGTGGTTATTTCAAGTTTAAAAAATGGAGTGTACCTTATATTTATGGGTATAAAAGGTGTGTAAACCTTATCAGTTATCTTAGATAGCCCTCCTTTCATTATTCCCCCCCCCCCCAAAAAAAAATAATTCACAAATGATAAAGAGAATAAATTAAGTGGTTATTTCAAGTTTAAAAAATGGGCTTACAATAATATATATTAAATATAATTAATTTAATAACGACATACAGTTGACTAAGTGAAAAGATAGGATCATCCAAATCACAAATACATACGACAGTATTGTCCTTGACCTTGATATCGTTATTTATATATTATCATGATGTTACAACATAACAGGAAGTGCTTTTGTTTCATTTCAGTATGGGAAGGGGAAATTATTACAACGGTTACTGGAAATTTGATCAAAAGAAATTTCGTCGACGGAAAATTGATGGACGGAACTTTGATCGAACGGAAATTTGGTCGAATCTTTTTTTCAGTTAAAATTTTCGTCAAATTTCTTTTTGAACTCACTATACTTTATAGTAAAACAAAATAATGCGTGCAAATAAGAAATTTGAAGCGAAATTTCAACGCGTGAACTTAAAAACAGATTCGATCAAATTTCTGTTCGATCAAATATACGTCGATCAATTTTCCGTCGACGAAATTTCTTTAGATCGAATTTCCGGATACAGTGTGGAAAATTATTACCGAGCACTCTAATATTCTAAACGCTTTTCAGCCCCCCCCCCCCACACACACACACCAAATCATAACCTCCAAAAATATGTCTTCTTCTTCTTTATTTTAAGGGCCCACGATCAATGAATTGATCATTCTGGCTCCTATGTTATTCCTGTTTTTCAAGGGAAACATGAAGAAAATGAGATGACACTGATTTCACGAAATGAAATAATTGCGCTAAATGACTTAATGAGACTCTTAAAGAAACAAAAATATTATCTGAAAATGCATTTGGTGCATGGCCTAATATTTTCTTTAAATTTTTTTAGCAGAGTTATGTCCTCTTGTCATGCGTAACAGAGTAATGTCCTTTTGTCATGCGTACAGAGTAATGTCGCCTTGTCATGTGTGGCAGAGTAATGCTATTCCCTTGTCATTTTAAATAGTTGGTGAAATAAATCTGCAGTGTAAAACCGGTTGGGACATAAGAATATAAATATAAAATATAACCCAAAAAAATTTGCTTGTAAAGAAAGGAATCATCAGAACGACTTTGTATTTAGATTTTCATTGTCCCCCCCCCCCCAATCCAGGACTTGGTTCCGCCATGGTAAGTGTGTCGGCCATCTCTATGATAAGCCAGTACTAATAAAAAATAACCCCAAAAAATTTTTTCTTATAAAAAAGAATCTCCCCAGCCCCTTTTTTTTTTTATTTTTTCTTTCCCCCCCCCCCCCCAATCCAGGACTTGGTTCCGCCATGGTAAGTGTGTCGGCCATCTCTATGATAAGCCAGTACTTCGACAAGAGGAGATCGTTCGCCACGGCTGTCGCGGGTTGCGGTCTGGCTGTTGGTTCCATGGGCTCACCGCCCGTCATCAAGCTGCTTCTGGAGGTAGGACGCCCTGAGTTTGTCGGACAACACCGCGCGATGCAGTCCCAAATGAAAATATTAATTACAATTTATGTTGCATTCATCGGTTGGAGGTTAACACCTGCTTAGAGTGAAAGGTTTACAAAAAAAAGTTGACATGGTGCGCTTTACCCATTCCAACTTTAATAAAATTTGTTTTATTTTATTTAGCCCCTCCCCCACCTGTCTCTCTCGATCTCGCTCGCTCAGCCTCTCTCTCTCTCTCTCTCTCTCTTTTCTCTCACCCTCTATATATTTTTTATATCTCTCTCCTCTCTCTCATTTTCTCTCGAACTCTCGTTTTCTCTCTCTCACCGTCTCCTCTCTCTCTCTCTGTCGTTCCCCCACTCCCTTTTCGCTCCCTCCCTCTCTCTGTATCTCGCCCCGTCCCTCCCTCTCCCTCTTGCTTTCTCTCCATCTCTCGTCCGCCCCCCTCTCTCTGTATCTCGCTCCCTACCTCTATCTCTAAATCCCGCTCTTTCTCTAGCCCTCTATCTCTCTCTTGTCTTTCTCTCTCTCTCTCTGTCTTGTTTTTTTCAATCCCTCGCTTTCTCTCCACCCCCCTCTCTCTCCCCCTCTCTCTCCCCCTCTCTTTCTCGCTCTCGCCTGCCTTAAACTTATAAACAACAAACAGCAAACACATTGAAGCAGAGGTTCTTTGGGGTTTGAAAGACCCTTTCTCAAGGGTCGCCTAAGACCACCGGAAAACACGTATACTCTACATATATAAAGTGGCAACGAAAATAATTTTGTGGTTGGGGGTCGCCAAAACATGGGTAACTGCATTAAAGGGTCGTGGCATCAGAAAGATTGAGAACCTTTGCATTAAAGCATATGCACACATTTTTGTCGCCAAACGACCACGCACCGTTTTTGATGAGACCTCTTCTGGCTCAGCTGATGATTGCTCGACGAGGGCTCTGTCCAGTGCACTGCTCACCAAGACAAGGGCTCTGTCCAGTGCACTGCTCACCCCGACAAGGGCTCTGTCCAGTGCACTGCTCACCACGACAAGGGCTCTGTCCAGTGCTCTGCTCACCACGACAAAGGCTTTGTCCAGTGCACTGCTCACCACGACAAGGGGCTCTGTGCAGTGCATTTCTCACCACTACAAGGGCTCTGTCCAGTGCACTGTTCATCAAGACAAGGGCTCTGTCCAGTGTATTCCTTACCAAGACAAGTGCTCTGTCCAGTGCACTGCTCACCAAGACAAGGGCTCTGTCCAGTGCATTCCTCACCACGACAAGGGCTCTGTCAAGTGCACTGCTCACCACAAAATTTTTTTTATTTTTATGAGACTGTCTTCGGTGCATAATAGCAGTTATTCAGCGAAACGAATTGAAAACTAAAACTCTCTTTTTTTAAAATAAATTTTTGTTAAAAATAATATTTTCATTTTTTTCAGAACTTTGGACTTCGGGGGACATTTCTGCTAATTGGTGGCTTTGAGATGAACAACTTGGGCATGGCGATGCTGCTTCGTCCCACGAGCCGCTACACGACCATCATCCATGATGCGGACAAACACAGCGACGACGACGACGACGACGATGACGTTAAGGATGATAATACCTCAAACGACGCTAAAGCATCGGAGTCCCCTCTTATCAATGGACACTGTGACGCAATGGCGTCTGCGCGCAACGTTTTCGAAACAAATGAACCCGCCAAAAATATTGGCGGACGCGAGATAGTCAAATCAAGGGCGGCCATGGAAATGACTTCACTATCTCCGAAGACATCCGAAAATAATATATTAAAATCTTGTGACGGCATCATCACCGCAACGTCAATTTCTGAAGCTGAGCATGGAATTGTAAACACGAATGGCGTGTTGCGCGGGAAGGGCAACGGGGGTAAAAACTCGATTGAAACCAGACAGCTGAACAAAAACAGTGAAGCTGACAAGGAGTTGCTTGAAAGTAGGACTACTGTAAAAACTAGTCAAAGTAAAGAAGATACGAGTTCTTCGAATTTATCAAAGGTTATTCTATCGATACCGGCGGACGCAAGCGTTGAACTGCTCGTAGGTTCTTCGCCATCCGGAAAGTTGAAGTCAAAGTCTTTTTCAAATGATGAGCCAAACGCGAACTCCGTCGGACCTTTTCTGACAACACAGGGGTCCGTCGTGACCACCACGAGTTATGAAAAGGCCGCGAGGGCTGTCGTTGAGAGAATGAACTCAGTAGACGCGAGCGGCTCCGCTAAGAAATCCCTCTACGGAAGCCGGACGGCCAAGGCCAGCATCTCCAGCACGTGGAGTGTGGTCAGCGCCTCGCTGAACGAAATGGCCGTGGACGTCGAGCTCAGCCCGCAGCCGCAGAATCACGCGGACGGCAGGGACGTCGCCAGGTCAAAGGGCGCGGTCACGAGAGCCCTGTACTGGATGCATTCCGCTTTCAGCCTCGAGCTCCTGCGCACCTGGTCGCTCAGGATCCTGCTCATGTATTCTTCCGCGGGCGTCATGCTGCAGTACCTGGCGACCTATCTCCCCACGATCGCGCGGAAGGAGGGTCTGACCCCGGACGAGATTGCGCGCATGTTGATCGTGGGAGGGGGTGTGGATTTCGCCAGCAGGCTGGCCATCGGAGCGTTCTCCGACCTCAAGATCTTGCGTCCCACCCAGATCGTGGTGATCGCTCAGTTCATCATTGGTGAGACATCGTTGTTAGAATAGTTCTTAATCTCCAAACCACCAGGTTGTCGTGATGAAGTGATTTGAACTTGTGTTTCAAAAGCCACAGCACAGCCAAAAAATATGTTATATATATATATATATACATAATATATATATACATATATATATATATATATATATATAAATAGGGCAATCTTTAAAAGAATTGTTATCTTCATTGTTCATATGTTTAAATATATTGTTTACTTTCCGAGTGAATCCACATTTTGCAAAAGCCGTTCCCTTCTCTCAAACCACCCACATTCTTATTATTAGTTTTGTTAATTTAAAAGTATTTTATTTCATTGCGATTTTTTTAAATTTCGAAAAATCACCTCGTGATGTTCATTATGATATAAATATTACCGAGCACCTTGCCTGAAAAAACCCCACCCCTAAACAACTGTTGTTCCGTTTCAGGCACCACCTGCCATTTCAGCAGGTTCTTCAACTCAGCTCCAACTCTGATGGGACTCACGGTCATCCTTGGCCTGTTTGGTGGCACTCGCCAGAGTTTGCAGACGCTCGTCTGCTTGGAGTTCATGGGGCAGGACAATTTCAGGAGAGCGTACGGCTTCCAGTTGATGGCAGGGACGCTCACTCTGTCCGTGCACCACCCTTTGCTGAGTGAGTTATCCAACGTACCATTTAAACAAAAAAATTTAAAAAATTAAAATTCTCATGTTCATTGATTAGCAATTCATTTGAAAAGGACAATATGTCTTCTTTGTCATTTTTTTTTGAAAACATGTGTATCAGCATCAAAGGTAATAATAATTATTATTATTATTTTGGAGAGAATTCTTTTACACAGGTTTAAAATATTTACTTTAAAATGAGTTATTTGGAACAATTTAGAGAGACTAATATATTTATGAAAGTTCCTGTCAGTTACTTAGATGTGTGATGGGATGTCCATCTTATTTGACCAAATGCCACTGCACTGATGATCTTGATGCTCGTCTTCAGATGATGATTGATTGAATTTATATTATGAACATTTCTTACACATACAAATTATTTTTTGTTAAATTTTGTACTTGTTGTTCGAATTTGGCTAAACCATCTTTGATATCACCTGCAGTCAAATAAATGAATATGATTTCACTGTTCAGTGAACAATCGCTCTGTGCCATTGAGCAATGTTGGAGAGAGAGAGGGGAGAGTGAGGGAGAGATTGAGGGAGCGAGAGAGAGAGAAAGGGGCGGAGGGGAGAGAGAGAAAGCACTGGTGGCTGACTGTTTACCTCCTAAGAAATTTAAATAGCATATTTAAACTTTTAAAACTTGGCGCCACGTTTCATCCACCTCCAGGCTCAATTTTGGAAGCCACGGGTTCCTTCACCTATCCCCTTCACTACGTGGGCGTGGCTGCCTACTTGAGCGTCGTCTGCTTGTTGCTGCAGCCAATCACAAAACGTCTGGATGAGGTCAAAGCCAAGGAGCAGATGCCCCAACCCGTCATGGAATCAGCCTCATTTTGAGCACATACTACCTCATTGCTAGGCTGGATAGTTAAACAAAGACCTCTAGAATAGTATGTAACAGTTTTTTCTGTTTTTGTTGGTATTTTTGTTCCATATCAATGCGGTTCTCTGATTTTTATGGAGTTCCAACAACATATTTTTACCAATACAACTTCATAAACCCAGTATTGGTGTAGTATAATTTTTATGAATAAAAAAATACAAACCACATTTTTTTTAATCTTCCAAATTTTATTAAAAAAATTTCTGTTTTTTTTGTTGTTTTTTCTTAAATAAATATTTGACAACTTTGCTAAATTTTTTTCTGTAGAGTTCACTGTTGTGGTTAAACAGAATCAACTGATAGAACTCTAAGCTTATTAAACAGAGCTAGAGAGAGACTTGCTTGTGATCAGTGGTCTTGAATGTTTACTGATCAGTTAAGTACAAGAAATCTCACTAGGCAACCCTGAGAAAGCAGATGCAGATTTGAATTTTATTTGTCACACAAAAATTAATGAACAGAGAATTCTGCTATGGGACACAACTGGCTTATAAAACAAAACAATGGTGGACTGAACGGCCCACGTGCAGTAAGAATGAATAAACAGACACATTAAAAATAAATAAATTGGAATGAACATCTCCATATGTTAAGTACATAAATAAGCCATCAGCCAGGAAGGATTAAAAGTTAAGAGATTTTGCATTGGGGGCGAGTATTCCACGAGTTATCTTGACATATGCATAGCTGCACACACAATCTCTATGATGGTCTTATTTTTAGAATATTGACCATTTCTTTCACTATCACACACAAACGCAAGAGATAACAACCACTCTCGCTAATGACACATTGTTTTGCATTTTTAAAAAAAAAATTAAACTTGAAATATTGCGATTCTTCAATTTTGAATTGTTCTAATTGTGAACAGAATTAATAGTCATAACTCGTAACTTGGTATTTTGAAAAAGAAAAAATGAAATAAATGAACATGTTTTAAAGTTTGCAATGTTTAACAGGACTGAGGTAAGAAATTAGGATGCGTTTTCAAGTGACGAACCTGCAACATGAATGGCATAAGTTTTAAGACATTTTATTACCTCAACATTTTTTAAAAAATTTTTGGACAAAATTGGATACCCAATTCTATAAATCATTTTTAAAAAGTATTAATTTTAAAATCAATTTTTAAAAATTAAATTAATTGCTGCATTTGTATAGAAGCAGTGGTTGAGCTGTCATCCCAATATTAGCTAATGAACATTTATAACATGTCCAGACACAAAATAAATATTTCGATGAAAAGTGTAAAATAAATTATAGAAACAATTTCTAAAATAAATATTATTATTATTTTTTAAACTGATGATGTGAAACTATGAGGGAAATAAAATAAAACTTAATTTTAAAAATTAAAATTGTATCACAGTCTGTAGAAAATAAAGTCAATTTTTCAAAATAAATTGCAAATTGTTTTTTTAAGAAAATGGTAGTTAGAAAATGTAAATATTTTATAAAAGTAATCCTTTGAACCATTATTTTATTTCAACTACTAAAAATTGCAGCTTGAAAAATAAATTCAAAATTAGCAGAAACTATGGACAACTGTCAATGAATTTACAAAGTTGTTTTTTTCATTTACAAATTTTTAAGTTTAATAAATAATAAAAAAATTATCAAAAATTTCAAATTTTAAAAAAAAGCAATAGTAATTAACAGCATAATTTTGGGAACAAATGTACAAATATTACTTAAATTTTACCAAGTCTTGAATAAGTAACTGCTTTTATCTGTGTTCCAAGTTCAGACAACTTCAAAGCTGCATTTGTGTCCCCTGAGATGCGAAGTCTTCCACTCATGAAGGCCTGAAAGGGTTTCAGCCCTCCCAAAAGCATTGCCTGAAGGTCTTCAAAGGTCAGACTTAAGATGGCTGCAGGGTTGCCACTGGGGTCGGGACCAGTGCCGATGGTTCCATGTCCTATAATGTGAAGGGAAAGAACTTGTCATGCAACACTAAGCTGTTAAAAAAACTTATCTTAAAAAGAAAAAAAAAAAAAAAATGGACACACAGATACATCTCAATATTGTTTTTATCAAATACACTATTTGCTATACATTATTTCCAATGACTAATAATTCCTTCGCCAAATGTTTCTATTTGCATCCAAAAAAATGTACAATACCTAGTTTCCTATTCTCCTGTCCCATAATTCCTGGTTTGATTTTTGTTTGGTCCTCATAACATCTTGATTTTGAGGTCAACTTCATTTGAGTTAAATTTCATTGTTTTTATTTTGTCTATGTTGTTTTGTCCCCTTGAAGAAGTATTTTAGCCCATGCACCCTTAGTGTTGTTAGTTCTTTTTCAAAATTTCACATATCATGTTATCTCATAGATACTTATGTGTTGGTTGGACTTTGTTGGCCAAACATTTTGATGAAAATCAGGGGTTGCGACCTATCCCCTGTACATAAGTTTTGCATAATTTTATACAGTGTGCAGCAGGTATTTATACAAAAAGTCCCAGGAATTGCAGAGGTAAATCCATTTTTAAAAAAAAATGTTTCTTAAAGATCATGTAGTTAAAAGTTTTTTTTTTAAAGTTTCCCTGTTGTTATGGACACATATTTGTGTGATTCCTGTTAAACAAATATTTCTTACATTTACATCAAAATAGGGCAAACTAAAGGGGCAACCCGTCTGTGGGTGTACATCGCAAATACCCACTGTGACAACCCCAAACTAAAGGTGCAACATACCTGTGGGTCAGCCACGCAGTTACCCACTCTGAGAACCCCAAGCTAAGGGTGCAACTTATCCCCTGGTGGGAGTTTATGTGAGTACATACAGTAAATATTTTCCAAATAAGCCAGGTCACTTATGAAGTCAAACGTAATTACAAGGCCAGCAACTCGTTTCAGATAAACTCACCATTTTTCAGATCCAGATAGTAAGTTCCTGCCCCGGTCCCACTGATCTCAAACTGGTAGCTTTCTCCCACTTTGGCTACAACGCTCTCACATAGGGCCTCACGTATCAGCGACAAAATATCCTCAGGGTCAAACACGGGCAACACGTTGGATGGCATTGTGTCTCCTATGAGTCTTTCCTGTTCGACCCCACTGCTGGCCTTTTCATAATCATCCACGGATACTTTGGTCAAACCAGCACCGCCGCCGTTTTGTTCACCAGCCTGCACCGACCCTAGAAATGAGGTCAGGTCATTTGTGTTTGTGGTCACGACTGGAGCCACGCCCTGGTTGAAGCCTCCCATCATTGCCTGCAGAGCCTGGGCAATAGCCTCAGGTTTTCCTTGGCCTTTTGGAAGAGTTAAGCAAAGTTCCTTACAAAGTCGTATGTCATGTGGTTATGAGAGTCTTATGTTATGTGGTTATGAGAGTCTTATGTTATGTGGTTATGAGAGTCTTATGTTATGTGGTTATGAGAGGCTTATGTTATGAGGTTATGAGTCTCATGTTATATGGTTATGAGAGTCTAATGCTTATGTGGTTATGAGAGTTTTATGATATGTGGTTATAAGAGTCTTATGTTATGTGATTATGAGAGTCTTATGCGATGTAGTTATAAGAGTCTTATGTTATGTGGTTATGAGAGTCTTATGCGATGTAGTTATAATAGTGTTATATTATATGGTTAATGGTATTTGATTATGGAATTTGAAAAAAAATATATGTTGGCATTTGATCGTAATCATAAATTTGATTGGTATTCGGTTAGCTGTTCAATTACAAAAAATATCTTTAGCTTTGCATTATTTTTGCTGACCAAAATAAGAAATAAAAAAACTTTAGGTGGAAACTGACTAAGTGCATTCAGAAAACTATTCACCGGCAACTATAAAACAATGCAGCGTTTTTTCCTGACAAAAATAGTTCCAATAGTGAAATGACGTACATGATCTTATTTAAAGCTTGGCTAATGAAATTAAATAATTAAAAAAAAAGGTTTAGGTGGAAAAAACTTATTTGAGACGCAGCTTGTAGATTATACATTTTTAGTAATCTAATTCTCTCCCCTCCTCCCCCCCCAAAGAACAACACAACAGTACAATCCTAACAACACAACTATTCAGTCCACAGGGTAGAGTTCGTATCACACGAGAACCGAAACACTTCCCTGGAATAAGACAGAAATATATATATATGAATTATGAATGAATAAAATGTTTAGGAAATCTTGACCTGCCTTGCGTTTCAGTGACGGCTTGAGCCAGCTGGGCAAAAATGGACGGCAAAGCTCCAGTTCCTTCCCCTGCTCCAAACATGCCAGGCGGCATGAAAACCGTTGGCGCCTTTTTGGGAGCCGGTCCTTGCAAAACTTTAATCTGTGATCTAAAAGCCAAAATGTGTGTCATTTAAGCTTGAGAAAGCGTTTCAGTGTTGCACAATCATTTTTTTGAAGGCGTTTTCACTCAATTAGTTTTATTTTGTAAAAAAAAAAAAAAAAAAAAAAATAAACAAATAAACTGAAGCCAAAGGGCAGTGCTTGCTTACAATTCAGATCTTGAGATGTAAACACCCCATTTAGCACATGTTTTGTTGCTGTTAACCTGTGGAATTGAACTATTTTTGTGTCATCCAATTTAAAGACAAAATAAATTGTTAACAAAGAAGAACACAATATTCTAAGTTTATTGAAAATGTTGTCTTCATTGCTCAGACAAGTAACTACCGTACTTTTAAAATTAAATGATTAAAAAAAAAAAACAATATTATCATCTCCGAATGGAGTTTTCTCAAAAAATTTCAATATTTCTAAACAATTTTTAAATGTAAAGCTGAAATTAAAAACAATTAATGGCCTTTTACTAAAACATGAATTGTATGAACTGAACGAGTCAAACATTTCTAACAACTATGAATGAAAGAGTCATTGTACATTAACATTAAAACCATGTCAAGTTTTCCCAAGTGGTGGTATCAAAGTTTTCCCATGTGGTGGTATCAGAATTTTCCCATGTGGTGGTATCAAAATTTGCTCATGTGGTGGTATCAAAATTTTGCCCAGTGGTGATATTAAGATACAAAGCTTACAAAAGCACAAGGAAACTCAAGGAAACAAAATTGCATGAATTCAATTGAGTGTAATACACAACCAATTTTTTAAATTTTGTATTTAATGTAATTGTAAAGAATTTTTAAAAAAATCATATCCTTTATCATTGTTACAACTTGCCCTTGGAATATCACCTGCAGCAATATCACAAGAAAGTTACACTTACTAAAGAAGCTACAAAAAGAATCTTTGTTAAAACAAATGTTTTAAAATCAGAAAAATACATTGTTTCCTCAATAATATTTACTCAATTATAAACACTCAATGAATGGGCAACTTCAAAACAACTGATTTCTGAATTACCATCAGAGCATTTGCTATGGACATCCTCTCTGCCTCTATCTCTGATAATGACTTCTGGACTAGCATGTTGCAAAGAGCTGTCTGAACCAGGATGCGTGTGGATCTGTCAAGATTCTGGACATTGCTCACCGACTTCTCCGCATCCACGACCTGGAAGTAGATTTCTGCCCCTACCTCTATAATGGCTTTATCCCCAGTGATAATCTAGATGGGTGACAAGTGGACATGAGCATCAGTTATACCATGAAAAAATAGTTCAGATATATTCAGGAGGTAATAAAGGATTTGGTTTGGGGGCAGGGCATTTAATCACATCACTTGCCATCTGGATGCCCCATATGGGTTGTGATGAGAGTTTTAAAAAATAGAAAACATTTCAGAAATAAACATTTTGAATAGAGTATTAACCATTTGTACCTCTGACCCTTTTCACAATCCCACACATATTTTTTTTGGTTCTGCCATTAGAAACACATTTGAGTTAAAATGAGGTTTTAGACGAAACAGTGGTTTTTCTTCTCAGATAAGAAATAAATGACAAGACCTGATCAGAGTTACACCAGCGATGCTCATTTACAATTATTTTTTTCTTTAATTAGAAAGTGTTTATTTTCTGCCCACTTACCATGATATTAAATAAACATGAATTTCAACTACATACATTTTAAAAGAAAATCTTTTAAAAAAAAATTACTTTGTGATTGTAGGTCAAATTTTATGTAACTGTAAACTATCTAAAATTACCTGTTTTGGTGGAACACTAAATGCTTTTAGACTGACATTTACTTTATGACTACGGTCAATCAATGGCAACACCAACGCAAGTCCTTGGGAATGCAAAAACAACACTTTTATTATATCAGAAATGTAAGAAACAAGACTTACTTCCATTGTGTCAAATAATTAAAAAGCTAGAAAGGGAAAGACTTAGAATTAGGGAAACAACCGGAAATCGCCTCACACATTTGGTCAAATATTCACTTCAGCAATTCATGCCATTCCTACCCATGCCGATCCCGATATTAATTTCAAAATTAGAATTTTTAAAGAAACTCAAAGAACTCGTGTATTAAAATAGGCAGCTGGATGACTTTGTGTTCTAAATTTCCAATTCAAAACCCAGAAGAAGAAAACAAACGTCAGCAGCACCCCACAGCTTTTTGCCAGAAAAAACTGCTAATTCAACACTTGCTTAATAGTAATTAGCTGTAAGTTATAATATAGCAACAAGAATCATTTATGAATAATCTCCCCTAAGCTGCGCACAGATTCTAACATCTTTACATCCTTCCCACATGAATAAATCACAACTTTTAAAAGAAAATGGCTCGTTAAAGTCCAATTTTCATCAATTGTTTCTTCCACCAATCGGTAGTAATTTTTCAAAACTGGACTCCTATGATGGATTTGATAAAAAATTTGGATAACTAGACAATTCGTTTAATTATACTAGCTGTTATGATACAGATTCCTGTATTTAAATTAACAAAGTGCGATGAATATATTTTTGGCCTTGACAAAGTTAATGAGTTCACCGTCTTGTATTTTAACCATAAGAAAGTGGGGGAAGTACATGTGGATGGAAGTTTTTTTAAACTATTTGCACTTTATGGATAATTTACTTTTAATTAATTATTTATACTTGATGAATATTTTAATTTTCTTACTGAAGTTGAGCTCTTGACTTACCTGATTTCATAATTTCATGATTTAAATCAAGACCTCAAGATGAATAGTAATGTAAAATTATATTAAATTAAGAAATTAGATTGAAATTTAACAAATTTTACACCATACATCAATTAATTAAATTAACAGAAATTAAATGAAAAGTATACATAATTTACTAGTGAAATTGATAGGATACGTCATAGTCTACAAGTCAATGTTTAACAAAATCAAAGGCACTATTTGAAAAATCATGAATAATGTGTCAGTGGATTGAATAGTACTCAGATTCATACCTGGATATGGCAAATAATAGTCCCAATAAACTTGGATTCAGTGCCTGGTAATAATGTCTACCCGGTTGTTCCCTACTTTAAAATAACTGATCAAAGTTACTGGCTTAAAAATTTGTAGCAAAGAAATCCCAGAGAGATTAAAATACAAGAACATAAAAGCTTCTTAATCTTTCCATTTCAAGAGAACATACCTGGACCTTTTGACTTCTGAAGAAGACCTAACCTATATACTACCAGCCTCTCATTATGAGGTACTTTCTGTGAATAAAAATTAATTGAAATTTAAAGTCTATTAAACATAATTTTTTTAAAAACACCATCTGATCACAAATAATATTAATTATATTTCCCCATATACATTCTAGACCTGAGAGTGCTTCTTTCATATACAAATTCAACTGTCGAGCTCTAAGATGCATCAATTTCTTTTCCTGCCCTGATTAATTAGCTGTGTTGCTTTTTAAAAAAAAATGTATGAGCTTGAATGTCCTTTAATAATAATGGTAACCTTTGTCTGTATATTACGCATGTCCCACAAGACACCAGATACCACAATTCTGCTTTAATGGCCAATGACATGGAATTTGTTGACTTCACTTTGAAACCTAAAAAGGTTAAATTATGACTAAAAAAATCAGGGTCATGTGCATCCACACAAGTGCGGAAAGATGGTTTAAGACTTTTAATAATTTATAAATTAATAAACTGTACTTTTCTCATCTATCAAACCTGTAGATTTCAATAAAAGAAATTTCTTTTGAGGACCCTGGTGAAATCCTAAATAACATGAGCTACAATGACCCACTAATTCTTAAAATGCAAGAAAAGAGGGAGGTAGATTATTTTTTTTTCAAGCTAAAGCAATTGTAAATGACAGTGATTTTTTATTTTAAAAAATAAATTCCTTAACTAATTCATATTACCTTGATGCTGAACCATATCATCAGTGGAAATGCGAGAACAAAAATAATGAAATATCCCAGCATTACGAAAAATCTTGCAATCCTATTTGTGCGAAGTTCTGATGCTATGGAATATGCAAAATAAAAAGTCAGCTGCCTACATAACCTATGTAACAAAATTTATTATTAACTGTTAAGATATGTAATACTCTAATGAAAACCATTACTACTATTAGTATTATATGCCTACCAATCTCATTGTTCTGTGCCTCAATCTTATCACCACTATAAGTAAAGATAGATTTGTAACTTTGCCTCTGAATTTCATTTCCATCATTGTATGTGAAAACTGATTTAAAGTCAAAAGTGTCCTCATGATCTGACATTGGTACTAATGTATATTTGCTTGAAGCCATGCTCATTTCAATCTTAAAAGAAGAAAGAAAAAAAAATCATATTAATTTTCAATAATATTTTTTTTTACACATTACACAGTGCTATTTTACATAGAAATGCACATATGATTTATAACAAGCAATCTAATAACCCAGTGAAGTACCTTGACTACATCAAACACACATCATTAAGAGACATTAAGATAATGGTATATAGCAGGCCTGCACCACTCAAAATGTAAGCAGGGCCATAATAATTTATGAAAACTTGTGCGGGCCATAATATTTTATGAAAAGCTTGTGCTGGCCGAAAGATAATAGGACAGGGCAAAAGTATTAAATAATGACAATAAAGAATATTTTGTTACTTCGCGAGCCGCCAAGTGGGTGCCGTATGTTGTGAAGGCCTGGTATATAGTAGGCCTATATTTAAACTCCAAAAGTGTCTTCTGGGATTAGGTTGTTCTTATTTATTTTTCTGGCTAATTTGGAGTTTCATCACCCTGACGTCATTTGCATGTTTTGTCCCTGGTTCCGATAGGGTCAAAACTCTGGTTCCAATAGGGGGTCGTCCATAAAGTATGTCACACTATTTTTGACCATTTTACCCCCCCCCCACACCGTCACAATCTGTCATGAATATCGGACCTCCCCCCTCTCCCCAAGTATGTCACACTTTCGAACAAATTTTAAAAAAAAATTAACACCTAATTAAAATATAATCTAAAACACACTTCACTATTAAACTGTATTAATATTTAAAATATAAAATTTCCACATACTTTCCACTATCACAATATTAAAATGACTTTAATAGTAGAATAGTTAATTGTCAACAGTTGTCACAGATTCATTGAAGCAGTAACTCAATCTAGATTGAATTTGAAAACAAAAATTTGACTAGACAATTATATAAAATATATCATTTATCTGTTGCTTTTTTCATTTACAATAGGTAAGGTCAAGTTTTAGATAATCTTCCGATTATGCAATCGTTTTACACAGGTTAAGAAGTATATAAGAGAAACTTGACCTCACCAAATGATTAAATAATAAAAAGGACAGTGACATAATTATGCAGCGGACAACATAGAAATAATAATACTTCAGGAGAGACGAAAGCAAAGCTATACATAAAACAAGGCTTTGCAACAGCATACTAGCGCTCCTAGCGAGAGGAATCGTGAACAACACATTCAGGAGATAGCATTTCATACTATTTTGACATAAAACTAATTCAAATGATACACAAAATTTTTGAAAATTATTTTTAAAGCTATTAAATTCCACTAAAAAAATTAAAAATAAATTAGAAATAAAATTTAAAAAAAATAAATGTTTAACGTCACACATGGCCTGAAACCCCCCCCCCCCCCCCCAAAAAAAAATAAAAAAAAATAAAAAAAAAATATAAAAAAAAAAAATGTTATAACTCACCAATTGCCCCAAACCCCCCCCCCCCCCCCCAAAATCCACGTTAGGGATAAGTTTAGCGTTCAGGTTAGGTTTAGGGATAGATTTAGGACATAAGTTCATGGCAACCAAGATGGCGGCCACGCTTTTTACCCAAAATGCACCGTGGCCGCCATCTCTCCAAATTTACTATTTTTCTTCTTTTAGTGGCCCCACAAGAAATATCGGTAAAAGGTAAATTATTAGCTGTCGGCCCAGGGTTTCCTATCATGGCCACCATCTTGGTTGACACGACACCTGAAGTCAAGTGAAGTGTCAACCAAGATGGCGGCCAAAAAATTAGTGCAAATATCAAATATATTTGAATGTGAAAGTCAAGTGGTACTTGTGGAAAAAGTGTGGAATAAGAAGGGAGCGGTAAAGAAAATATAAAGCTGAGCTCATAAAAGTATCTATTTTCAGACTGCATCAGTCATAGTCTTTCTCACTCTCACTCTCAGTCATAGTCATACTTCTGTCTTATCTGAGTCTGAGTCGTTGACGACAGAATTTTTAATTTTGTAAAGTAGACTAACTTACGATAACTAATTCACCAAGAGCCCACCTTTTAAAAGGAAGATTCTGAGTAATCTGAGGTATATCTATTCTGGTCATAAAACTGTTAATTGTAGTTTGCAGATTAACCTTCTTTTAATTAAGCATTTCGCAAGTTGCTGTTTACAAATTAAAAGAACTCTCCAAAAAAGAAAACATACAAATGGGACAAGACTACCCCAAATCGTGATTAGAACATATTGCCGAACCCTTCAGCGTTCTATGCCCATTATTAATTATCAAGGAAGAAATGAAATCATCTGTAATTTTAAATGTATAAATATATAATAAGATTGGAAAATAAAATATAAGCATTTCTATATTCAAAGAACCACACCAATGAATTAGTATGTCATGTAATTAAAATTTTTGTTTTGGGTTTCAATGAAACTTTATTCCATCATAGCGAAAATTCAAACAATGGGCAAATAGTTGTAAACAAACGAAATCAATAGTTACATTCGCTTATTACTCACTTTACACTTTACTCGGTGAAATCAATCAAATTGCAAAGTTATTCGTGTGGAATTTTAAAAAAATAAATTATTAAATGATAACTTATTCAAATGGTAATTAGCAAAATTCATTTTTAATGTATTATTAATTATTACTTAGTAAACGTATAATAGAAAGTAGTCGTACTTTACAATATTTTTTTAAAAATCAACAAGTCAAATTATTTGTTATTTAAATTAGCCTGAAATAATTACTGCTAGATTTTAGATTTTAACAATGTAAACAAGCCATAATAATAATAAGAGTTGACCTCACTGAAATGGCACTGTAAAATGTAATGACAGTAGGCCTAATGTCAATGTGTAGGATGTCAACGATCGGAAACTCTGCAAGCCAACGACATCGAATTTGCCATTCATAATTTTGAGTCTTTGCGAGAGGATGGATCGATAGTGCGCGTGAGGGGAAAAAGCTGAAGGGAGAATAATCTCTCCTGCAAGATCGATACAGTTCAGTCAGGGGATTCGTTTCTCCTTTCTGCCGGACAACATAACATTATGTAGATTTCTTTACCGAGGATGAACGAAGAACAGTGATATCTGATATTTCATTATTGCAAAAACGCATAACTTTATGACACTACAATGATATGCTACATTTTTTCACATGACTGAGGCTGCGGTTTACATTTGTATTACTTTGTTGATTTCAAATTAATCAAATAATTATAAATTATGGGGAAAACAGTTGATAACCATGTTTGCTCACAGTCACAGGCAGTTTCAGGTATGTTCTATGTGCATTTTTAATTTGAAGGGATGATTGTAATTGTAGTTAATGTTTAAAATCCCTGATTAACATAAAATTCAATTCTCAAAGTATTTTTAATTTATATGGTATTACATACATTTTAATGTAAACTATTTCACTAAGACTAATTTAAATTTAAACAACTATAATGTTCATAGATTAAATGTCATATCTCAAGTCATAGTCATAGATTGATATGTCTACTGAACTGCTGATGTATTTGGTTTCATTAGTAACCTAATTATGCCTAATATAAAATATTTGTTTAGGCATTGATACATTCTTGAACAAAATTTTAATTATATATAGCCTATTCTGTAGTATACTTAAATAGGCCTATACTATACATCTTTGTTCTGACTTGGCCATAATCTTAATTCTTTTGTCTTTAATCAGTAAAAGGACATGTCCTCTTACTAATATAATTATTGAGTATAATAGTAAATGAAATGCCTTGAAATGGAAACATTTGATAAAACAACAATTTAAGCTTTGAAAGCAGTGTCTTTTTTAAACGCATATTTCAATAATTTATGGCTTGGACTATTGCTGTCCACTCGAGGTCCCCACCAAGTGGCCGACAAAGGATAAATCCCACATTAAAAATGTGGCTAAAACTGAGGACGGCTGCCACTGCGTCTTTTGTGTGTTTATTAAAGTTGCAGTGAATTAGGGTTTAGGTTAGGTTGAGGGATCGATTTATGGTTCAGGTTAGGCATAGGGATCGATTTAGGGTTCAGGTTAGGCATAGGGATCGATTTAGGGATACATTCGTGAAATTCGATAAAATAGTGGCAGTAGTCCCCGTTTTTTACCCAAAATGTAAGTCTGAATTCAATCAAGCAAAGAATTATTTTACAACTGTGATGGTGAATTAATAAGCATGAGCTTTATACTTTATAAGGACTGTCATACAATGGGGTTGTTTTTGTAATAGTTATGCAACACCAATCGGCAAAATAAAGTTATTTAAATTAAAGGTTTCAAACTTATTATGAAGTTATAGTATTTATCAAGCCAAAGCAAACTTCAGCTGTTACTGGCTCCATACTGGGCAACTATGATAATGCTTTATGTAAACAATACCCTGATGTAATTTTACTTTTCAAGTGTGTGTTATAGGTCAATCTAGTTTCACTGTAAAAATAGCATACCACAGAATCTTTGATAACTGCTATCAGCTTGCTGATAAAAACTATTATTAGTAAGTCATCATCCTTCAGAGAGCTCTTCAGGAAATTCCACATTTCAAGATTGCTGACAGTCAATTTCTTATTTCATGCAGAACAAAATTTTTGTCATTCAACCAAAGTGTATTTTTTTTTTTCCAAGCACATCAAAGAAAAAATAAAAGGCACTCTTTACCAATTTTATGATGTACAACCTTTAAACCTTAAAAAGTTTGGTTTCCAGTGAGTAGGCTTTACCAGAGTGCTTATAGTAACAAAGTACTTGAGGCTAGAGATGTGAAGAGATAACTTACGGAAGTTATTATATTGACACTTTGAAACGTTTGATGTTTTTTTTTTTTATTGTTGATAGAACTTAAGTGTAGCCAGCAGCTCTATTCAAACGCATTGAACAATTATTTATTTAAATTTTTTTACCCTTACACCATGAAGCCAACTGGTGGGAATCATTAACTTAAGAATTCTTTGCAAATATTTCTTGAATTAATGTTTAGCGGTGTATTATTGTAAAAATAATAAGTGGGGGTGGGGTTGTGTCTGTGCAAGAGGAGTTATGTTTATATAGTGGGTTTTAGGGAATGTTTATTATTATTGTCATCATCCAGATTCAGTAGCCATTTGGGCATGTTTCCTTCGGCCTGACAACGCGGTGAAGAATTTGCATACTCTCCGCAGCTGTTATTTGATTGCATATAAGGGAAGTTAAATTATTATAAATCCTAAATATTACGCGGAATCTTCTCCTGCATATTTTAATACATCCGTGTATCATTCCTTATCTAGATCAGTGCCTTTGAAATCTTGAGAAAGGTCTGGACCACTCTGCCTTGTTAGTCTCCCCATCCCCTATGGGTAGATTCACTGGTGTAGGAAAAAGGGGGGTGCGGTGGGGGGGGGGTCTGCTCCAGGCGGCAGTTAGTCAAAAGGCAGGGCCTTATATTGAGGGGGCTGCACTTTGGCTAACTGCCGAGTTTTTTCATGAAAGGGTGGCTGCGAAAAATATTGTCCCTCCCCGGGCAGCACTTAGGCTAGCTACGCCACTGGGTAGATTGCTATCAATTCCAAATAACAACCATTGTCAAATGTGCACAAATGCATACATTGCAAGGCTTTAAACTATAACATGTACTTTTTATTTGTCCAACCTGTACTTATATGAAATGATTGTTTCCTTTTTTAAAGGAGCTTTTTTTTGTTTCAATTTGGCTCTGAACTGAAATTCAATTAATTATGAAAAAGATAACATCAACAAAAAAATGTAGGTTAAGTTACTATACAAAATACACAACAATTGTTTGTTTTTTGCAGTTTATCTGATCGTACATAACCTGGGTGTCTACTTAAACAGAACATTAACTATGGAAAATCACATTAACATGCTTCGCAAAATTGGTCATATCAGACCTTTCTTAATATTAGATGCTTCGAAGAGGCTGATGTCTGCATTCGTGCTTTCACGCATGGACTATTACAATGCTCTTATGGTGGGTCTTCCATTTTCGAATCATACAATGTCGAGACGTTGTATCTGTTGTGTTGCAAATCATCCACTCATGGCAATGAGTGTCTATTCATCCAGCCAAGTCTACCGCTTGGTCACAGAACAGCGCAACCAAAAGTAATAGTCTTCAAATCAACAAACACTCCACGGTTCGATACAATATATACATTTAATAAATATGCCTCTTCAACATGACAATCAGTGTACTTCCCTATACAGCTTGTAACCGTTCAACTTCACAATATATCTAGTTGAAATCCTCACACATAGAAACATCACACAAGAAGCTATATCTTGAATAGTGCACAACGGCCATCTCTCCTCTAACAACAATGAAAACTAACGCGTCACTTCCCACTACACAATTACGTCACAACACTCTCACACAAACGATACAGCTACACATAAAATCTTTGACTAAACATCTTTTCCCTATCAAACATTGAAAAAATTCAAAAAGCACAGAATAATGCGACTCGCTTTGTTCTTCGAAAACGCAAATTCGACCATGCTAAAAAAACTTCTGAGAGAGTTGCATTGGCTGCCGGTCTGCGCTCGCATAGAGTACAAAATTGCAACTCTGTGCTACCGCTGCTTGCATGACCTGGCACCGTTCTATCTCAAAGCGCCACTTACGCCTTATGTACCCACTAGACAACTCAGCTCATCTGATAGTGGCAAACTCTCGATACCACGTGTTCGCCTTGAAACTAACGAGAGGCGCACTTTCGCATTTGCTGGCCCAACAATTGGGAACACTCTTCCTATCGCTATCAGAAACAGCCAGACACTGGAGTCTTTCAAAACTGATTTGAAGACTTATCTTTTTCGAAAACCCCTTCTGGGGTGATGTTGTCTATCTAGCTATTATCTTTTAAATGTATATTGGCCTGTGTTGTTTATGGTTGTAAGGTATGAAAGACTTAGAATGGGTATTCTTGTATGTAGTTTTGTAATGTTGAATTTTGTACTTAAATGTGGTATGTACCGCGCTTCGAGCCTTTGGGGATGAATCAGGATTTTTAAATAATCTTTATTATTATTAGATAGTATTTATATATGTCCGAAATTTGACATTTAAAATTTAAAAAAAAGTGTATGTGCATACGTAATTGTATGGACTACGTTTATTGGCTGAACCACTTGATGGTATATACCAGGCTTAACTGTTGAACAACCTGATGATATAAACTACGTTTAACTGCTGACCC